CTTGGCTGCAGTGACCATGAGATGGTGGAGTTCAGGATCCTGAGAGGAAGGAGCAGGGCAAAAAGCAAGATGACAACCCTGGACTTCATGAGAACAGATTTTGGCCACTACCTGGATCTGCTTGGTACAGTGCTGTAGGATAAGGCCCTGGAGGGAGCGGGGTCCAAGAAAGCTGGTTTATATTCAAGGACCACTTCCTCCAAGCTCAAGAGCAGTCCCTCCCAACAAGCTAGAAGTCAGGCAAACATGCCAGGAGGCCTGCATGGATGAACAAGGAGCTTGTGGCAAAGGTCAAACATAGAAAGGGAGTATACAGAAGATCGAAGGAGGGTCAGGTAACCTGGGAAGAAAACAGAAGACACTGTCCAAGCACGCAGAGATGCAGTCAGGGAAGCCAAAGCCCACCTGGAGATGAATCTGGCTGAGGTAAGGCTGAGGTACTGAATGTTGTCTTCATCTCAGTCTTTACTAGTAAGGCCCATGGTTAGGAATAATATAGGCCCAAGCTTTTAGTATGCCCAGAAGCTTACCTTCTTGGACTCTGTTCAGTATAAAGTGTAAGTGTACAGAACATGTTATCTAAATTGTATATAAAAACTGTTCAAAGTTTCAATCAGTTATTTCCAATCCAAGTAAAGTTTGTGTTTATAATATTTAACTCTTTATTTGCAATAACAATCTGAAAAACTTATTTGAGCAATTTACGTCAAAATTTTGATGGTTTACACAAGACCATCTACAACAATAAAAGCTATGATGTTATACCCACAAATCTATGCAAAAAAGAATTAACCAGGTGCAGACTGATGGAATAAAAATTCTGCATAGCTCTATGAAGATGCCCCAATCACTGGCAGGATCAAAGAATCATTAAAAAATTAAGGGGAGACTAGCAGGAATCTCAAGTGATCATGTGTCTATCTCCCAGGCCCAGACAAAATCTTACATACATGATGGCAGATCCACTATTTGTAAGTGCTGAACATTAACACATCCGTAATGTTAGAAAGTAGTTTCCAATATTTAAGCTCATATTTGACTGTGTTAATGAACTAATGGAGAAAAGTATACCTTTCAGACATCAGCTATCAACAGCTTCCATTTTCCAAGACTTAAGTATTTCTGTAGAAATCTCTTGAAGGCAACAGCCAATTTTTGCCCTGGCCTTTTCAATTTCCTCTCTGCACGCTCTTGCTTCAGTATTTTTCTTCTTGCTTTGCATTCAGTAAAAAACTCTTAATTTGTCCAAGCTGGTATGTTATTACACTTTCTATCTGTTCTGTGTTAGGTTGATTCCTACTTCTGGAGTTATCATTTCCTTGAAGAACTACCAGGTCTCCATAATTCCTTTTTCTACTTAAGGCTCATTTCCATGTGATCTCTTCATATGAATTCTAAATTTAAGTGAACCTTGAGCTTTACTAATGTTTGGTCGTCTTTAATTAACTCCTGACTCTAACGAGTGTTTTGCTCAAGACATTCAGGCTTATTGCAACTGCATAGGATTAGACAAACAAGACTGGAAGCTTTCATAAACATCAGGACTCAAAACACACTCTTTTACACAGGTGTCGCCTTTACTGTAGTTTTAAGAGACCCAGTTAAGACTGTTGTCTATGAGACTAGATATTTCTACAAAAATACAGACATGAAAAGAGAAAGCAGACCATGTCCCTACCTGCTTGGCTTACAAATACCACCACAAGTCAAACCAGTACATTGAAATTACTAATCGGAAGTACAGGTTATTGAATAAAACATTTCTGAATTAATTATAGCTTAATTCTGAATTTCTCAGTTATTCTGAACAGATGGAATACATACTGCAGGAATGGCAGAAGGTCAAAAAAAACATTTGATCCTCTGATAAGGATACCTCACAGTCTTCCCAAATACTTAAGTTCCTTGGCAACAGACAAAAGCCAAAAAGTTTCACAGACATAAAGGTTTCCCTAGTTATAAGCTTTGATACACTTCTAGAAGTCCCTACATAAAGCTCCGGACGAGCTCTTCCTTTCAGCTAATCAGCTAAAAAAACTAGATCTTAAAACAAAAGAAGCCAGAAATATTTCATCATTCAAGAAGGCCAGTAGAAGATTTCTGCATTTTCTTGTGGATTACCAACTTGACTCCCTCCTCCTCATGCCAGTTTGGATTATGGAGCAAAGTAGAAACCGCACTCAAAGAAAACACTAAGCATAGAAAAGATTTTTGTTTGTCTTATTCAAGTCAATGCATTTACTTATGATGCAGAACTACTCCTGGAAGAATATCATCAGTTCCATAAGAGTTACAAAATAGCACTATTCCTCCTAGATAATTCTTGAACAGAATTCTTCTCTAAAACATGTAAACCATAAGATTATTTTATCCTCATGCACATTCATATTCCTACATAAATTCAGCCACAGTTATCACACTGGGGAGGAAAAGCCATGTTTTCATGTAATGCAAAGGTCTGAAGTTAAACACAACACATTTGCATCCACTGTCAAAAAACATTCCTTGTCAATCACAGCATTTTGAAAACCAGGTCATGTTTGGACAAGCACTTCATGCTGAACTCTTTTTGAATGATCTTTCTATAAATCAACATTTGGCTTGCAACAGATGAAGTGATTACATAACTCTGAAACATAACTGAAATACACCTTCAAGATTCATTGCATTTGGCATTACATAAACTTTAAGTCTGAATAATTCCAACTTTCTAGTTCAGCATATGAACACTGAAATAAAAAAAATCAGGCAATGAACTTAGTCAGCTTCTGACTAATGTGACTGAACAAACAAAATGAAATTACTGAATTCTATTTGCATAAGATATTGGCCTTGTATTGCTGGGGGGGGAGGGGGGGAGGAAATCTAAATTTTATTTAGTAGGGATTTTTTTTGTTTTATATCAAAGAGGAAGATAAATTCTCTACTGTGTCATGGAAATGCAGTGCAGTTTTGAACACTGCCAGATCACTGCTTCTTCAAGTAAGCCTTCAGAGAAACAATGCTTTAACGAATAGTTCCGTAACATCATTTTCTACAATTCAATGAGCCTTACATAATTTTCTACAATTCAATGAGCCTTAGCAGCAGCTTTGCAAATCCTGTCTTACACTGATAAAAGGAAACTGAAACCATGCATCCAACAACTCCTGAAAGCCACAGTACTTTGCTCTTTGTACTATTTACAGGAGGTGCAGGATAAGTACGTGTTGAACTACGTGGCACTAGTGTTTTAGAGGTACAACATCAAACACCACCGCCGCCCTTTTTGCACATCTTTATCACCCTACAGTATTTCTTCGGAGTGTTTTGTTATTTTGAACTAGCAACAGATAGTTCAGCATTTCAGTCATACACTAAATTTGATTAAGTATTAAATGAAGACTTTGCACAACCTTGACTCACAAGCCATAAAAGCAAAGCCCAAGACAAATGTGAGAGACCAAACACCACTGAACTGTTACAGCACAACTGACTTTTTTTGTAGAATGTCATACTCTGACAGCACTGGTCTCTCCCTGGTGCAGTACCAACTGCAGTAGTACTTCCTAGTAGCTGCTCAAAACTGACGAAAAATCACGTTAAAGCCCTGAGAATATCTCCTACCTCACAGGTATGGAAAAGAGAACTCCCTATACCTATGCATAGGATCGTGTTAGCAACACTGCATTAAAAATTTTACCAGACCATCCTTTGGGTTCTTTCAGAACCAGCCCTCCATTTTTTTTTTTCCCCCAGGTCACTAAAAAGAAGGCAGTGGCTTTATACACTACAGCCAGTCCATACCCTCATGACCAGGGTTATAATCATATTGGACTGAGAAAGCACTTAATTCTCTCTGTTGGCATAACCCTCTCTTTGTAATGCTTCAGGAGGCTCAGGAGTTTCGTGACACACCGGGGCTGCACAGGTAATTTGATATGGCAGTCTCATCCTTCCCACGCAGATGCAGCAGCTGACAGGTCTAAGCACCTGCATGCATACAGGTGCATGGACTGCTTTTGAGAGCAGAAAAGCCTGGACACGATCATCCCACACCCTGTGACAACCTTCACTGTAACCAATTTTCATCCAAATCCAGATTCAATTGGCTGAAACCCTTTAGAGTTTCAGTTGACAGTAACAGCTCTAGAGGGACTTTACTCATTTCCCTGTCCTAGGTTTCCTGGAAGGTCATGATTTTAAAGGGAAGTAATATGCTGGAAAAGATACACTAAAAAAACCAAAACAAAACCACACACAGTTTACAGTGGGAATGTGTACCTAGATAGCTTGCCAACTAAGGCAGACTAGCAGAGCTGTTCATGTACAATATGGCTTTGTTGGAGGGTTGCTCATGAAAAACAGGCAATAAAAATGGGTGACTTATTACCACAATAGCTTAAAAATCAAACACAGTGAACCAACTGCCATAAACCAAAGGAATGATATATGGGGAATGAAGAAATTTCTGATTCCAAACCAATAGCAAGCTGTTCTCCAGAATGTTTTCAGAAGAATACAGTATAAAGCTTATCACAACTTGTACAGCAAACTGACAGGAAGCTGCTGGTGTAGCAGGAAAAGCAAATGAAGTAATATATAAATATGTAGGTAAGTAGCAAGTCTCAATATCTACAATACTATTGGTGCTTGGAGTTCAGCTTTGCCTCAGATTTGCACTGTGATTTTGCGCAAGTCACACAAATCTCTCTGTAGATACATTTAGATAAAGATACTTGCTCTCAAAGCACTTTAATCTCCAGAGATGAAACATTATATGAAATGTAATTGTCGATAATCACAGCTTACAGCCTTCTAATGACGGTTGAAATGTGCATTCCACATTCTATCATCTGATAGAATCGACTCAAAAGCAGTTTTCATACATGTTTTGACAATGTGTGAACGTTCAGCACAACTCATGGCGTGGCATCTGGCTGTGTAGTATGACCAAAAAAAAAAGCCAACAAAAACCCCACAAACAAACAAACAAAACCAAACAACCCCCAAAAACTTACTTGCAGAAGCGTTCCATGAATATTGTTCTGTCGTATGCAAGGACTGGTAAAGTCTGGAAGCCCCTCCAGCAAGGACAGCACTGTATGTGGTACTTCATTTACCATAACAAATGGAACAAGGGCCCGACCTGACATCTCACGTGAACGGTACACAGGAGAGTGCCCACACCTAGAAAAAGGAGAAATACCTATTTTTTTGTCATCCAGCTGCAATCCACTGCTGTGGCTAAAACAAAACAAACGATAATGCAATGAAAACTAAAACACATTTCTCACAAATCAAATGTACAGTCTTTCTTCTCAGTAGTGAGAGTTTATTTGCCCAGAACATAAGTCATACTAGAGCCATGTTGGACGTTTTTTTCTCCTTCAGAAGTTCCTGTGTTTACATAAAGTACAAAAAAAAAAAATCAAAACACAACACGAGAGAAAAAAGGAAAAGAAAGAATGCAATTATGCCATGAAGCAGGTAAGTATATAGTCCTGTTCCATCTTTCTTGATGTTCATGTTACTTACTATGCAGCAATCATATTCAAATGTATTATGACTGTTAAACTCCATGTTCTTAATCATGTTTCCATAAGAACACAACACTGTGTCTACTGGAATTTTAGGCCGTATGTCCCGCTGGTTTTTAGAACATATTTAAAGGCAGGAAGTAAAAGACACATTGGAAAATAATTTTCTATTACTTGTAATTACTATCTCAAAAATACTTTTTATTTATTAAAAATAAGACTCAAAACTGCATATAAAACACAGGCCAAAAAGAACCTTTTATCTTTTAATGTTATTAAGGTTTTGACTGGCTGTAGATTTATGAATATACATAGAATTAACTATTCAGCTATATTAACACATTAACCAGCTGTATACTACTTCAGTAGCACGTATACTGAGTTGAAGTGAATAAAAATCTTTTATCAACTAAAGGTAGGTTAGGCTAAGTCTTTCGAAGCCAGTAATTCTTGCATGTGTCAATTTTTGTAAGGCAGGTACAATTCAGCCACCCGCAGTCTCAGACAACTGAGAAAGTTACTACAGGGTTTAGAAATGAATGGCCAAATGACTTAGGTGATGTAAAATGCAGTATGGCAGAAGTTATGCTCTGATACCTCCCAGCTGATTGTGATGACCCAGAGAGATGGCATTCCCTCCTCCTACCTTCTCATGCTTTTCCTGAATTGCTTCTTACATATTTTCAGCTTACAAAATTGCATGTAGTTGAGACTATCCCCTGCCAAAATGGGCAAACCACTTTTGAGCTCTCCCAAACAAGCCCTGCAGGGTACGTATTTAAAAAATGAAATGAAATTACAAGGATTCAAATATCTCTAGCAAATTTAAATCAATACTCAAAGTACTTGTTTACTTTAGTTCACACCAAAGAAATACAGAAAACAGTTTCCATCTTGAACCAGCAACTGAATTAATAGGGCTGAACACAAGACAGTAAATAGACTTAACTGAAATAGCAAAACAGTTCTGATATTTTAGTTATGTTAGCTCACAATATGCCTGAAAAACACAGACCTCATTTAGAGGAAGTAGAGAGCTATGCTACCCCTGAACGACAGGCTTTTGTGGGAATTTTCATCCTCACAGTATGGCAGCATGTTCTATCCTCCACCTCCCCATGCATTCCCTTGTAGGGAACGATTTTTAGAAACACCATCTTTGCATCTCCTTTTCAAAGACTGGCTGGCCTTCACAACAGGATGCAAAAGCAGAGCAGTCACAACTGGAGGCTCTTCCACATGGAAAAGCTTTAATTCTGTATTGACAAGGTGCAAGAAAAGTCAGCTTAGCTCTTAATAAAAAACTTTCATTTTTTTAAACAAAACCATTTTAATTCTGCTGCACAGGAAACCTAAACCTGAGAAGTGATTTGTCTGAAACCATTCCTTTATTCCTGCTAAACCATGTTTTCTTAACCAAGAGACTCTCACATGTACATGTTCTTTCCCAACACAAGCAACACTGATACTGTAATGAATGTCTAGTTTTTAATTAGCTGTAATTGTATACTCAAGAATGTTCTTTATTTTGTCCATGACCTTTTTACAAATCCCAAGAAATCTGACATGTCTTCAGAAGGAAGAGTGGAAAATGGGTAAAATGCCAGCGTTTCCTCTAACTTGTGTAAGGGTACTTTCCAACACTAAATGCTTCAGAGGGGGTTTTCTCCTCGAACACAATGCAATGAATTAGAATGGTATTCTGTGGGTTTTTTCCTAGTAATAAAAAATGGAATTGAGAACAATTTTTAGATAAGCTGACAATTTTGTTGTCATGTAAAAGCTGACATTAAAGACTTGTAACACATGCACATACATATATGGAGATACAGTATTTTACATATCAAATTTTGTTCCACGCTGTTATTTTATGAAATTTATTATGGAAATAGAAGTGACTGCTCTGTATTTAGAAAGAAGAAAATAACTTCATATTACAGGCAAAGTTGTCTCAGCTGCCTAAAGTCTCGGTCCACAACAGAGACTGCCACCTCAGCATTTATACTGAATGTATGTAAGGCAAAAGTGCAATTTTCAAGACTACAGACAAGTCTAATCCTCACCTCTCCTCATGCCCCAAATTGTTGTTCTCAATAAGAACCTCAGCAGCTGAGTGTTACCCCACACAGAAGCCTAACGGGGACCCTCAAATTAGGTTCTGTTTTGCACTTTGAGGATCCTAAATCAGGAGGCAATAACCTCCTCCTCCTCCCCCTGAGCACACACACAGGTGCCCAGCGGGTGGAGAACTAGCCCAGGACGCAGGGGACCCGGTTCTGCAACTTTCTGTGCCTGAGGGAAATGCAAACCCACAGCTACTACTCGCCCAAAGGGCAATCCAGCCACCAACCTGCAACTGTGCTACGTACCTGCTGTACATTAATGCAAACTTCTCACACTACAGATTGCTACATAGGGTGCAGCGTAGTCACAGGAACTGACATCTTAGTGGAAACCCTCTTAAGAGCACTCCTACGAAGTCATTACTAAGGAAAAAAAGCATCACAAAGTTTAAGAACGGTAAAGTATCTGCTTTATAGGAACACAAGGAAGCTATTTCACACTGGCAAATAGCTTCCCAAATCTGAGAGGGGTTAACATTCCTACTGTTTCTTCGCCTTTTTTTTTTTTAAATTTTATTTTTAAAAATGTCCTCATACTTAAAGAAAATTGGTTGTCCCCCGCCCCACAAGAAACAGTACTGATAACATTTCAAAAACACTCCTCCTTTCACATCCACATGCAAGATATCATGCCAAGTCACCACTAGTGACCTATCCCTGAACTTCTGCATACCCTGAAGGCACTTATGTATACATCTCATGTTTTGAAGGCACTTGGCTTCATTCCTGAATTGTGGAAGAAGTTTGCCAGAAGAATGTCAAATATACACTACTTTCTCCATCACCTGTAACAGCACCCAAGATTAAGAACAGGGAGTTTTGGTTTTTACTGGATCCCACTTAGATATAATCTCTTACCTGTAAATAAAACTAAACAGGATTAATTCTCAAAAAGCAAGAGGAAGAGTGAATGCAAATGAAACAACTGAGTAACACAAAACAACAATCTAACCCAATGTAGCAGTTTTTTGTTTGTTGTTATACCAGCCTCCAAGACCAACTACATACCTTAACACTGAGTCCACCACCTGTATTCTTAAATACTAATTTTATCTAAGCTTTAGCAACAACTATGGGAAACAATCTCACAAGCTCTATCTAGAAAAATCATTACACAGTTATGGCAATCACTGTAACTCAGTCTGTACCTGCAGCAAAACCTAGCAGCTTAAGGAAAGAAATATTTTAAGGCTATTAAACTATTCTGGTTACTCCTCCTGCAGCAGATTAACACACTGCCATCCCTGAGATTAGTTTCACTTATGTGGTGGCAGTTGCCTTGCCAGGACATTGGCAGAAAGGAACAGGACTTCCAACCTTGGCCACTTCACCATCCAGACTCTAAGCTTCACCTGCCAACAACATGAGTAAAATCTGTTGCAGGCCGACTCTTCTCATCTTCTCTGCAGGCAATGGAGTCTTGCATCCGTTAGGGCAGCATGTGTGTGTGTGCAAACCTGTATTTAAAACTGTTTCATTTTCTTTGATTTGAAAAATACTGGGGGAAGGGGGAAGTGTTTTCAGTACGTGACACTTTCTTTACATGTATAAAGAGATCATGTATAAATAGACTTTAAAATCTAAGAAATATCTAAAATGTCGTCATATGTAAAAACATACAGTATGCCAACCTAATTTTATTGTATCTCAAGGTAGCATCAAGCAATGAATCTTTCAAAATCCTCATGTGATACAATTCTACCAAATGCTGAGGGCTATTAACAACTGTTGAAGTAGTATTCCATGTTGAACTCAGTACTGTTTATCTAGGTGCACGAGGTATTGGATGTAAACATGTTTACTTCAAACAGTCTATGATCAAGAACAAAAAGTCAATAAATCTGAGAAGGTTTCACTTTGTGTAACTGTAGATTCAATGCATTTCCACTGCTCCGTTCCAGCTTTAACTCTTAGATCCTGAACAACCCTCCTAACTGACATTAATTTATGACCAACTCTCGTAAGGCACAAAGATTCCATACTCCTCTGCACACATCAAAGTATCTAATTTATTACTCTGGCTACAAACAACAGAACACTAGCTGTAAATAAAAATATCTTAAACTTTTTTCTGAAAAAAAGAACTGCAGGTGTTTCCTATGTGCTTATTTTTCTCCCTTTCTTATTACTTCCCCTCAACAGACTTTATATTACCTCAATTAACAAACCAAAAAAGGATTACCTTTTATATGAAGGTCACAGAAACAAATGAGTAGAATTAATTTGAAAAATCCACCTGTAGCTGGAAATATGTCCATTATATTAATAAATACCTACCGTTGTTAGAAGAAGGATTAACAAGGAGGAAAATACCTATTTCCAGGTTTACTGGATGTTGCCACAGTGATCTGTGCATTACTAATTATGTCACTGCTTATTAACAATACAGTTCCTGCAGTCCTATAGACAGTATCGCAACATCACAATTTTGTTTTCAGCTGAAATATATTCACATCCATTGCCTTCACAAAATGTTGGAAGAGGGAATCAGGAACAGCAGCCGTGAAAACGGAACTGAAACAACGGG